CTCCATGAACCTAACAAACCTTCATGCCAGATTTGATGAAGATCCATCATCAAGGGGCAAAGTAGTACAGTAATGCAAAATACAAAACTGAAAATTTGTATCTATCTCTCCATGAACCTAACAAACCTTCATGCCAGATTTGATGAAGATCCATCATCAAGGGGCAAAGTAGTACAGTAATGCAAAATACAAAACTGAAAATTTGTATCTATCTCTCCATGGACCTAACAAACCTTCATGCCAGATTTGATGAAGATCCATCATCAAGGGGCAAAGTAGTACAGTAATGCAAAATACAAAACTGAAAATTTGTATCTATCTCTCCATGAACCTAACAAACCTTCATGCCAGATTTGATGAAGATCCATCATCAGGGGGCAAAGTAGTAATGCAAAATACAAAACTGAAAATTTGTATCTATCTCTCCATGGACCCAATGAACCTCCATACAAAATTGGGTGAAGATCCATCCATAGGAGGTAAGGTAGTGGTAAAAACTGCAAAAATGCCCATAAAAACCACAAAACTGAAAATTTGTATCTATCTCTCCATGGACCCAATGAACCTCCATACAAAATTGGGTGAAGATCCATCCATAGGAGGTAAGGTAGTGGTAAAAACTGCAAAAATGCCCATAAAAACCACTACCGATTGATTCTTTTTTAAAGAAATCATTTCTAATTTGTTTTGTAAGTGTTTTAATTATAACACTACAACTTTATAAAAATATAAGCTATATAAGTAACTGTAGTTTAAATATGGAAAACTTGAACATAATTAGTTTCTTTATAAGGACAGCACTATGTTCGTGGAAATGTAAAGTGAAAAATTATAAAATGGTTTCTTTTTGACCGTGTTAAAGTCGGACCAATAGATCAAGGAAATGATCCAAAATAAAGGTGTGGAGTAAATAGTATGCATAATTATCATACATAACTGAGAATTTCAGCTTTTGGTGATTTCACTAAAACATTTCAGTTTGTTTTCTACCTGGAAATTTATTGATCGGAAACTTGCATTTTGCAGCTTTGATGGTTAACTTGCTGAATGCTGCCCGTTATTTTAAACCAACGTATTAACTACAGTGTCTGCTGTCAGTTTCATCACTGATCCTAATTGGTGATAAAGTGTATCATTTTAGATTTATGCATACTGATCATTGGTTATTTTATGACAGGAAACAATGCGACGAACTTGTGTTGGGATTTGGAAGTGCCGAGCATGTCAGAAAACAGTTGCAGGAGGAGCGTACGTTTACAGGTAAGCTCTGTTAAAAAGTGAAATTTATTAAATGTTTCTCGGTTTTGTTATCATTGAAAAAATTTGGTCCAGTGATTCCAGTACATCTGCATATATTGTTGTCACTCCTGCCTCCCAGTGGCTCAGCGGTAAGTCTTAAGGCTTGTAATGCTCAAAACCTGGTTTCAGACTTGTGGTGGGCACAGCACAGATAGCCCATTGTCTAGCTATGTGCATAACAACCAAGTTTCACTGCACTTTCACCCAGAAACAAGGGCTTGTCCAAAAAATAATGTTAAAAATGGACCATTCTTGTGTTGTCAGACATTAAATTCCTTATTCGTTGAGTCAGTTGAAGATATAATTGTGGTTAAGTTGCTCGACTTAAGGCCAATAACTGGTGATTTTGTTTATATCACAACATTTTACACAAAGGCTGGAATAAACATGTAGACATATCTCAATGAAAGGCTCCAGCAAAGGAGATAAAAGCTCTTGGAAAAGAAATGTTGGGGCATGAGAAAATCCAAAAGAGACCATGTTTTCTGTTTCTACACTTCGATGCAATTAGTTCCTATATTTTATTTATCTGTTAATTATTTGTTGGAAAGCACTTAGTATTAATTCTATCAACCAGAAACTCGTATCGTTATAACACTTATTAGTCCGTGAACTTAAAAATGTCTTAACAGTGTAATAAGACAGATATGGAAAAGTGAGTTATGTACAGAAATTAATGTATATTTCTAACTGTAACAAGAACTAAATAAAAGTGGATAGTGATCTCTGTAACTGATGCTGAATAACTTAAAGTATGAAGTAATTGTAGTGTCCCAACTTTCAGGTAAAATATATTTAAAAAATGAATGCTTCAGATTAACTTTGTTGTTTAAGTGTTTGTTTTCTTAAGAAAAATGAAAATATGTAAGTTTTACTAATTTCTAAAAATTTAATTTCATTACAATTTTGAAAAATGGATGAATTTCACATATTTTAGGATAGTTTGTTTGATTTACACAATTAGAAAGGACCTAAGACAATGTTACAAAAATTTGTCATATCCTATAGTTAAAGTTTAATTTGTGCTTAATGAGTTTCTTCGTTTATTACAGCACAACAGCAGCGGCAACAGTTCGAAGTGCTGTGAGACGACTTAGAGAAATGAAAGAACAGTAACCATTTGTTGGAACATTTATTCATTTTAAAAAAATAAAAACTTTTTAAACTCTGGACCTGTTTGTGAAAGTGATTATCTTTTACACACACTATCCTCAAATGAACAGTTGAGAAGAATTACTTGTGTTACTGAAATAAGCAACTGTGATGTTTGATATGTGTAGCTGAAAAAGGTTTAAAGAATGAGTTTTAAATCTGGGATTTCAGATGTTCATTTGAAAAAAAATAGCCTGTATGCTGTTTTGATATTTCACTGGAAATTGTTTAAATATAATCTTAATATTTACTGTAGGCTTTATGCTCAAGATTGCAGTTGCTCGGAGAATGTAAAGCTTGGCGATTGAATTGTAATCTTGCCCCTTTTTTGAAATTTTTTGTAAGCTGCTTTAACAGAGTTGTGCTTTTGATCGTAATAATAAACACTGATGTAACATATTAGATACTACTTTGAAGCCATATCATAAGTGATAAAAATATTTGTAATCATCATCCATAACTGGTAAATTGGGGAGAGATGTCAAAACTTTTAATTTTAGTTCCAATAAATGCTATGATTGATTAAAGATATATGGACTGCATCGAAGAATCCACAATGTTTTCTCTGTTAACAGGAGCTTGGTGATTGGGATGCTTGACTCACTATCTGTAGGGACTTTATAATGTGAGGATGAATACCACTATTTGTTGGTAAAAGATAGTCGATGGTTAGCGGTGTTGACTAGCTGCCTTCCTTCTAGTTTATCACTTAAAATTATGGATGGCTAGTGCAGATAGCTCTTGTGTAGCTTTATACAAAATTCAACAAAAATAAACACCCTTCTGTTAGTTAAAATTTAAGAACAGTTTTAAGATATAAAATCTTAATTTGGAATTTCCTAAACAAAATGGATTCTTAGCTTTACAGGCTGGTCAGCATAAGCAAAAAGTCCTGCCAGAGTTCCATCTCTATAAATTAATGAGACTTTCAGAACTCAAATAAACAATACCTTAAATAAAGCATGTGCTGAAATAAGTTGAGTAATAGGTTTTAAATCCCACATCGTAGATTTTTTTTATTTCTTGAAAAAGTTCTAACATCACAGTATGACCTGTTAATCTAAACAAGTTTCTTTCATAAGCATTCTTGTACAAAAACTTCCATATTAAAAAATATATTATACTTTTCTCACACAGCAACTTTCAAAAGTTAATTATAGTCGAACAAAATAGAAAAATGGGTGAGATGCAATAGCTAAAGATCCTTAAGTTGGTGGTAATTTATTTCTGTCATCAAGATATGTCTTATGTTAGTGGTGAAAATATTAATTTACATATTGAATAAGTGTCAATTTTATAGGGAAAATGGATTGTACCATCATCAAAAATGGCTCGAAATAATTTACATACACTTATTGAAAATCACAGAGATAGAGACATGAAGCACAGTTTAATTTGAAAAACTTATTGTAAAGTGTAATATTACAAGATAATAAAGTATTAGCCTGTAGGTTCTGGAATCCATGTGCATTTTTGAGCAGTAATTTTCAGGAAATACAGAACCATTGTTTCCTAGGCACCAGTGGTGGTCATTTTGATATATATATGTATTAACTTATAAAGATCCTAGTTACATGATTCCAGGGCTATACTCCATTAGCTTCACCCAGGATTAAAAGTATCAAGTTGTTGATGTGCACATGGAACTTTACAAACTACACTCATTTGTGGGTTTGAGGAATTTTTCATATTTAACTGTTTTAACTTTGTCCAATGCGTAGATATTTGATACCCTTATTTTGGCTTACAGATTTAATATCTAGGTGATTTCTATCGTATTGAATTGGTTATCTTGAAGAGTATAAATCCTAAACTACAGTACATGTAGAAGCTTAAAGTTTGTCACAACTAGTAGTTCAACGAAGTATATACATTTTACATCACCCTTACCTTTTTATATTATTAAGTATTGTGACGTAGGTATAAAATATTATTGTAGGCTTAAAGATTTATAATTGAATACGAAGAAGCTGTGTTGTCATGCTTTGAATGTTGAAATTTTCAAATAAATTATAAAATTAAAAGTTACAGTTAAATCTAACGAGTTATGTAATATTAATAATAACACTGAGTGTGAGGGAAAATGGCTTTAGATATCCAGGACATGGGAGTTAAGCTTATATGAACTTAACAGAACTTCACAAGAAGTCATTACAGACATCCTTGGATATTTTTAATTATATCCTGTCAGTCAAGTTCTGGATGGCCAGCCATTTCTGTTTTGGCACATTTGCATATCTACACCGACACAGTTTTGTGTAAATTAAATCCTTTGCTTGGCACGAACCTCTTGTTGAAGCATACTTAATCATTAGGTTCAGGTTACTGGCACAATAGGTGATCATTGCCTTTTATTCAATGAAGCTTGAGAGTGTCTGTAAACTGTGGAATCTATATAAATATAACAGTACTGTCTGTTTTATGTATGTGTAACTACTTTGCAGGGTGTGAATGGATCTTCACCAAAATTGGTATGGAGGTTCATTGAGTCTATGGGGAAATATATACACATTTTCAGTTTTCATGAATATTTACCACTCAAAACATCTTAAGTTCTTAAAATTGAGTATTTTCAAACTTTAACTCTAAATAGTATAGTTACCCGTATCTTAAGTGTAAACATAGCCTATCACGTGGTGATATTAATGATCAGTATCATTTACGTGGGTTGGGAAACAGAATTACAGATCGGGAAAACACTTTCCTTTCAAATGTACTCAAATCTGCAACACAAGAAAAAATGCTCAGTTATTTAGAATAAAAACATGAAGTAAAGAGTATATGTTCTGTCTAAAATGAATAGCATTAAGAATTTTAGGCTTAACAGAAGTAATTTATGTTTCACCATCAAACGCAACTGGTTTTGAAAACGAGTTACTTTCCTATATTATTCAAAATTTACAGGTTATTTTGTCAAATCTTATAAGCATCACTCTCCAACACCTGGAAAATGTCAGTGTTAATGGTACTACTTAATACAATCACTACCACGTGTTTGTGTTAATGAAGTACCTTTCTGTCAACCTTTATACAAGTGCTCAATGCTTTATAATAATTTTTAACTCTGCAAAATATCTCAGTTGTATGAAAGACAAGTTTATTTAAAAGCCTTCAGTACATTAGTCAAAGGAGTAAAGAACCAACACATCTAAAAAAAAAAAAGTAA